TCCTCATACCATTCTGACCAATCATCTCATTCTCCAGACACCCCCCGAATCTCCCCAGAGCTAGATAATTTTATTACCCTTCAACAACAACCCTACCACCTTAATACCCCAACCATAAACCAAATCTCCTCCACAATAAATTCATCCAACCCCCCTACCCCTACACCCTCTTCAAATTATACTGAATCATTAGCACCATCATCCACATCAACTGAATCTTCACTCAACACTAATAGAGCTTACCGCACTTTTAAAAGAAAGTTCCCCAACCATCCTTTCCCAGCAAAACCAGGAACAGCCCGTGAATACATCAACCACCCCAAGCATACTAACACAAAAGAATTTTTAGCCATCACCTTACCCTCATTCCCACAATACACCTTAAACACCCCCCACGACACTAACGAAACACGCAACTTTGTAGATGAATACGTTTTAATGCCCACTCTCTCTTGGACCTCATATTATCATTTTACTAACCCTCTTTGCTTACCTTTATCTAACACTCACATCGATATAGAGCGAAATACGGACATGCTATATCGACTCACTACACCACTAACCGCTAGACAATTTACTTACGTTGGATATAAAAAATCACTAAAAACACACACTGCACCTAGAGCTAACGAATATACACTCGAATACTATGATCACAACATCATCAGAGCTAACCAAGATCAATTCTTAGACGACGATCGCTTCGCTAATCCACAAATTACCGAGAAATTTTTCATCAAGACACCATATATATTCACACTAAACATCTTCGACCGAAAGTTTGATCACATTATTTCAGAAGCACTAACAGACACACAAGCATACGAAAGTTTTAAAGAACGCTTCCAAATATTTTCACTAACCTTTCATTTCCTTGCACCACACGAAAGAGATTTACACTGCTCACACGATATTATGTTGCGCACTAAACAAACCCACACATATAGTTATTATCGCTTCATCCAAAATCACTTTGACCTACACACACCCTCTAGACAACCACACCATCGTTTTCAATTCATTAATTCCAAATACACTTCACCATTTTTCCTAAATTTCACATATTGCATTAAAGATACTAACCTTCATGGTATTCTTCGTAATTATGACCCCATAACCCAAATGTACATCTTCTGTCCCATCACCAAGACCTTCAACGCCGAAGAATCCCGACCCTTCCTTATCCCGCACGAGTTTGTACAACCCATAGAAATCCCAATTTTAGAATTCATCCACAACACTAAATTCAATCACAAATTATATAATCTAATCCAAAACACACCTTATGAGTTTGCAGTTGGCACTGAAGAACTAACCACTATCAAGGCACTCCAATTGCTTTGGCCACTGCTTCAGACTAAAAATATCATCCGCATCTTAGCTAAACTACTAACAACTTCAGAACTAATTCACGACATCTTCCCCCACGGTTTTTTCCCCGACGACTAAACAGGTAAGTATGAATTAAATGAATATAACTAACTAATTAAAATATTAAAAACTCACCATACTTTATTCATGTTTTCTTTAGATTTTTAGCCTTCATCCGACGATCACCTACAAAAACCACAAAAGACAAATAAAAATCGCAAATTTCATCAAACAGATTTCAAAAATTCTATTAATCTCTTACACTTATAAATTTATAAATTTAATACCAATGCAATAAATTCATTTCTAAAATTTTCCCCACAAGCAGTAAATCTAATTATGATGAAAATTTGTAACTTAAAATTCCCCCATAACTAGCAGTAAATTTCCAAATTCTATGCAGTAAATTAATAAAATGCAAATGCAGTACTAACCTTTTGATATTCTCATTTATTCGCACAGAAATTCTATCCACACTCGCACAGCTCGCCCACGAAGAATTGTTTAAAATAATGAATTTCAGTTTCAAGTTTTCACACTCAACAACTCTAACATATAATAACATGTTTCAAACTTTCCTTTAACCCGGTTGGAAAGGAATCATATATTAAACAAAACTAACCAACGCAGCTTACTAAAATACCACAAATCATAGAATAACAGCATGACTAAGAAAAGGAAACCAACGGTACCCAAACCGGATTAACCCAGTTTAAAACTGGATAATTTATTCTTTTGAAGACTATTATAAAGTCTAAGAAAGAAATAATAAAACACAAAAAAGTCGAAAGACAAACCCATACCACGAACAATTTGCTTTTTGGAAAAAGGACATAACCAACAAGACATAAGAAAAACCACAACAAACCCAACATAAAACGTTGTCACATAACAGGACCCCTCACAAAAACCGCATGAAATCATACTCCCACTCCTGGCCTAACCCACCAGGAAGGACGTCCTGAGCATGCTCTATAGCCGGCCTAACCCACCGCGCTACATCCACGCTTTGTGACCACACCACTATTTTTAATAAGAGCTACTCAAGTGTGAGTAACTCTTCAAAATAACCGAACTAAAACAAAAAGCTTTTGTGAAATTAACTAACTAAAATCATAATTAAAAAATATTAAACTAATAAATGTTTTATAAAATGTAAATTACATTATGCAATACATAGATCAGAATACAACACCAAGGACGAACATCTAAAGACAAAACGACCCCACTACACTCGAGAGAGAATGACCAACCACAATCGATATGCCACTCACAATCACAACTCAAAGGATTTAGAGTACGACTTGACTTCGCAGAAAAGGACTTCATTGAACTAGACCAATGACCACCTCGATGTTCAAGTATACGTACAGATCCGAGTAACCAGGCATCCCCTCCACGCACAATCTCCACGCCATTCCCAAACTAGATCAGACACAAAAGAAGTTCTCCACGCAGAACAGAAAAACCTGACATAGCAAACCATTCTGAAATCAGATTTGAGTTTGTTGCAAAGACTTAGTCGTTGTCACTAGAAGACACAACGTCTTATGTCTCTAACTCCAGCTTCCTGGAACTTCTTTAACAAAAAGGAAACAGAAGAAATATGATGTTCGCCAAACACCAACGTCCATCATCCATCCTTCGAATTGCAGAAGAACTATTCTAAAAAACTCTGTAAAACCCGGATGGGTGGAACCTGATCTAAACTATATTTTATGATTGGATAAATTAAATGTTTTACCAATGTAAAGTATTTAATATTAACCAATCACGATCCATCTAACTAACAACCCACTTATTTGTAAGTGCTGAAGTTACTTGTAATTTCAGCACCAGAGAGATTTGAATTTAACTTAGAAATTAGTTGGACTCTCCCGAGCACTTCAGCAGCCGCAATAAACCAGTATACCCTAGATCTATTGAGCCTAGCAGAGACTAGTTAAACAACCTGAGACTAGATAGTATAAGAGTAAGATTAGATCGGTATTAGACTAAGAAGTTGCACGAATCTATCCGGCCGAAAATAAGATAGCGTGACGAGCAGACGGTGTACCCTATCCGAAATTACTCTATGAGTTAACCACTTCGGTCCTAACTCACCAAGCAAGATATGTTTCTCCATCTCGACTAAATTTGGCGAGTTACGTTTTTTTAACTGTGGTCAACTGTGGTCAAATTGTGGTCAATTCATATCAAAACTCATTAATCTGACTTTCGAGGAAAATTAAGAAATACTTGTGCCGTGGTGTTTTTTCTCCAGCCAAACTTCGCCTTTTTGTTCAGCCATTTTGACAAATTTTCTCATATCATTTTATACCAGCCAAAAAATTTTGTTGTCTTGAGCTGCGATCTATTAAGATATTTCACCTGTGATCTTTTTCCGTAAAGTTTGAAAAAAATCTCAAAAGAAATTAAAAATTTTTTGGTGAAATTTTTTTCAATTTTTTTTAAAGCGAACAATATTCCATAGAGCTTGAAAGGCATCGGAAATTAAAGGCTGATACGAGCAGTCCTGTTTTTTTTTACAGTGGAAGTAAGAACGACGACAAATAGTTATAATAGAAGTTGCGAGCAACTAAGGACAAGAAAACCGCAACTGCAGCAACACAGTACTTACTCTAACTATTGAATTTTGATTATTGATGCTCAAATGTGGTTGGTTGAAATTGCTTCCTATGAACGATAACAGAAAACAGAGAAATGAAAAGGGAATCATTCTCCGTGAAAATTTTATTGTATGCATGAGAAAATAATTTTACGAGAAAACCCCTGGTTACTGTGTTCTGGGACCATACATTACAAAGCGAAACTGTGCACACTGGATCGGCGCACAATTTTGTGCCTGTTTGTTCCTGGATTCCAGAGCAAATCTTTAAACAAAAATTTCGTGGATTCCGCGTACAAATAACTTTAACGTAAATTCAAATTTTGGATCAGCTTAACAATTGCCCTCCCTTTGGAACCTACTTAAGAATTGCCACCCCTATTAATAAAAGCAGTAAATTAGCGCTAGAGCTTTGTTTTGAGACTTCTAATTTTGCTGCAATCTGATTGGTCGAAAATGCGTTATATTCATGTACTTAACAATTGCCCCCTCCTTTTCTTAAAAGGGGGGTAATTGCTAAGTAGATCCCAAATTTTTTGGGCTGAAGGCGGAATTTCTGGGCTGAAGGCAAAATTTTGAAAAAAAAACAGGCTGAAAAAAGCGTTTTTTGGCAGTTTTTGGAAAATTTTGACCAAAAAATCGCATTTTTTCGGCGCGCGCTCCCCCTCAAAATTAGTATATATTGGCACCAAAGGCGCCTTTAGAAAAATTTTTGGGTCTGTCACCAAAATTAATATCTTAAAATTGTACAAAAGGGGACCTTTTTGGTCGGCAGGGGGTCAAATCCCTGAGGGGGATGCGAGTTTCCACCGCTATTGCAAATAAATTCAAATGTTTAGCATAATAACTGTTTCTCAACGTGTACCCTGGAATTTTGAACCCCCCTTTGATAGCAGGATAGTTAAATATCCACTTTTAATGTCTCATGCAGTTTAATGTCTCATGCAGTTGAAAAAAAAGAATGTGAACAATTTGAAATATGAATGTCTTGTTCGTTAATTATCAAGCAAAAGCGACCAACCGTCTAATTTTCCAGTGATTCCCATGTTAGATGTTTGGTTCACAAAGCTGCAGACAGTCCCACAAAGCAGGCCAGTGATAAAAAATAATCTATCTATCATGCAAGTTATCCCATAATAACAAACATGATTTTTTATGGACCAAACTAACGACAGTAAACAACAATGCTAGTCAAAAATGATTGTAATTCGATAACTTTTTACTTGTGTAACTCGAGATGCCTTTTGTTGTTTTGGTTGGTTTAGATGATTTCTTGATGTCCAATAATTATAAGAATAGCAGCCCACAAATATCTATCTCTTGTACAGCAAAAATAACAACTTTGAAAACACTTCGCATACCAGAAACGACGTACATATAATTGCGGTTGAAAATTTTATGATAGAGTAGTAGCATTCGTACAAGTTTCAGACTAGCAAGAGAGCAGTCATCAATTTTTTGCTATTAGCGTAAATTCTTTTCTCTTTGACGTGTTTTCTGCTATTTGTTGTTATTTATACTAAGCTCGGTGCTAGATATGTTTTATGCAGTTCTATTCTGGTGTAATAGAATCAGACACGTAAAGCCACAGAAGCAGATCGAGGCCTTTTGCATTGTTTTTGCTCTGATGTCTCATGATGATTATCCGGAGTCACAGATTAGACCATTCTCAGTTTTAATTCAATCACTGCTGCTCATGTTCGAAGCATGTTGAGAGACATGGAGAAATTAAATTGCATCATCATTTTAGTCCCCAGTCACAAAGACTTTTGATCTTAAGACACTTGGTCCGATTTCAGTATAGTAATTGACAATGTTCAGAGCATTTGTATTTTAAAACAACAGGCATTTTTATTCGATCCATGTGTGGGAGACAAGACCCAAAAGTTTTCTGCTTAACAGTAGTTTTGAGGGCGAAGACAATAAAAGAAGCCTAGAGAAGAAGCCTGGAGTCGTGCTCAAAAAGGCCACTTCTATCTCCAAATGACAAAAATCCACTAAAAAATCTGATTTATATCAATTTCGGTCGTAAGGTACATCAGTTTAGGTTTCCAAACAACTTTCATCTAAACTCCCCAGAGCGGGACGCGGATATAGATCAAAATTTTGCCTAGGTCCACAAGAAACATTTTATGAGCTCCAAACACGTCAAAAAGAGGCGATGCTTAGGCAAATTATGTCGACACCACTGATGGATTTTTTCAAAAAAAAATGAGCTCCTTAACGAATTCCATTTTTGGATGGGTGTCAAGAAAGATAGTAACATGGTAAAATTTTAACTGTCGAAGCCTAACGAAGAAGCGTTAAGATTTTCTAATGTTCTTTCGAGTGTTGATATCTTAAATCATAAGCTGTGAAATTTTTGAAAATAATCTTTTCCAGCAGCTAAGTAGATAGCACTTGCGTTTAGAAAGGTTATCAAATCAAATGATGGAGTTTTTTTTCGGAAAACTAAATTTTTCAACAGAACAACAGCATCGGCTTTATACTTGTTATGGCGTTTGGCTTGCCTGGATTTAAATTCCTTGGTATGTCCGGCAAACGTAGTAAAGTTCTTCGAATTCCGTCCCAGTGGCATCGTTTAGAAGTATTGTATCGCGTTCCGATTCCCATTGGGGTCGCTCCTTAAAGTGAGATCCCCACCCTTAAAGAAAATCTAGTAAGGGGTCCTTAATTTTCGCAACAGCCCCTTCTGTTTTTGCGTCAAAAATGTCTCAAAGTAGAGGACGCTTAACTTCGGTGACGACTAGCTTAACAGCAGAAAAAATGATACTCATCCCTTCTAGTTCCCCCGAGTCGTTACTATAAAAACATTTCAATTCCTGATTTTTACAACTTTGTCTTTTTTCCAGGTCTATTTTGATTTCAGCCCCAAAATTATTGTAAAAACACTACCATAGAGTTTCGCACTTTGTTTACACCTGAAACCATCATCAGGATATTTTTATAAATTTTCTATAAACCAAGTTCATCAATGAGTTGCTCATCAAAAAAAACAACAGCTATATATGTCTGACCTCGAAATTAAACCAATCCATAATTTTTTTGAGCAACAATCTCATCCATTCAACATACTAAGAATACACGAATACAACAAATCACCAAAAACAATCACATTTTACCTAGGACTTCTAAGATATTGCGAAACAAATGCAACAGTCTACCCAACAGAAGAAAGAGCAATTAGAAAGAATTATATTTTAAAATTACCAGGTATTTGTCAATCGACAATTCCTAATGAAGATCTATCAATTAACAATATAAAAAAGACTCTAAACGAAATACAGACTATTTTAAAACTTACCTTATTTCAAACCATTATTTTGAATTTCAAAAAACACAGGCGAACAATAAACATTTCTCACAATGATCAATTTTCAAATTTCTCAAATTAATCAACAAGTGTTTGATCAATTAGCAGAACTATTACTAAAATACCCGCTGGCTTATGCTACATCTCTTTTTGATATTGGAAAAAAAATTCACCATTACACCTACCTTTTAAACCTGATGCAGTTTTTAAAAAGCAGCGAGCAAGTAATGTACCAATGCGCCTACAAGACAAATTCAATAGATTACTAGACATTCTCGAACAAAATGAAATTATCTCACCAGTAATTTAAAAAAAGTACAACGAAAAGAAAGCCTTTTCGTAAACCCTGTAACCGTTCTCAATAAAGCAGATTCGCTAAAAATTGTTTTTGATGCATGATATCTCAATTCACTAATTGATGAATCTATATGAAATTGGCCCATAGAAGCAATCCAGTTAGTTTTAACTACAAAAAACTGACAATATTAAACAACAGCTGACATGAACAGCGCATATAATCAAATTCCATTAGATGAACAGTCTCAATGCCTACCTCAATTCGTGATTGGAAACCAACAATACGAAATTAGTAGAATTTTCTACGGAATTTTCATAGGACCAGCAGCTTTTTCAGCATTTATGAGCAAAATTTTCCGACCACTCATTCTTAGTATGAATGTTATCACATATCTAGACGAAGTTTTTGTACAATCACAAACAAAACAAAATATATTTGAATATTAGATCAATATCATCAGATCTTACTCAAAGAAAACATGGAAGCAGCCCCAGATAAATCACAGTTGTTTCTCAACCATTTTATGCTATGTTTGATGCTTCAAAATTTGGAATTGCGCAGAACTATTACAATCACACAAAAGTACAAACAAAATGAACCTTATCTCTGCAAATTAAAGACTATTTACACAAGCCGAACTTAGATTCTCTACACTCATGAGAGAAATTACAGCCATAATATATACTCTCACAGATTATGAATTTTTAGTCTTTGGATCAAATACTCCAACGTTTCCATTTACAGATCACAAACCTATAATTATTCTGTGTTCACAAAAATCAAAGCCAAACCATAAAAATTTTAGATTTCAACTTATCCTAATAAAAATTCCGAACCTACATATATTTTGGATAGCAGGAAGAAACGTTAGATTACCAGACACACTTAGTCGAATCACACCACCTGAATTCATAACAAGGAAAACAACCGTAGAAATACCAGAAAACATTTACTTGCAAAAACTTTTACTTGCAAAAAGACGTTACATCGCCCAATTGGAAAGCAAATATGCAGTAAAAACCGAATACCTAAAAACCAAATACCTTGATTGCCAAGATAAACATTACGAGTTAGATCTATTAGGGATATCTAGATTTAAACCAATACCATACTCATCATCGATCAAAAACAACTCACAGCAAAACTCACCTAAGCAAAAATTATATAGGATAAACCTATTCCCTTTACTAAAAAATAAAAACTAAACTGAAAGTATAATTTTACAGAACACAGTCCCTCTTCCGGATCAACCATTTTAAGCTATGTGCGACGCTTCAAACTTTGGAACTGGCGCAGAACTATTATAATCACACAAAAGTACAAACAAAATGAACCTTATCTCAGCAAATTGAAGACTATTTACACAAGCCGAACCTAGACTCTCTACATTTATGAGAGAATTTACAGCAATAATATATACTCTCACAAAATATGAGTTTTTATTCCTTGGATCAGATCATCCAACAGTTTTATTTACAGATCACAAACCTATAATTATCCTGTTTACACAAAAATCAAACCCAAACCATAGAATTTATAGATTTCCAACTATCCTAATAAAGTTTCCAAACCTACATATAAATTGGATGGCAGGAAGAAAACTTGGATTACCGGACACACTTAGTCAAAACACACCACCTGAAATAATAACAATGAAAACAACCGTAGAAATACCAGAAAAAAAAACAATTTTTTTCTTGCAAAAAACGTTAAATCACTCCGATCGGAATGCAAATATGCAGTAAAAACCGGTCTTGACAACATAAAAATAAATAATTCACAACAATTTCTATTATACCTTGATTGCCAAGATAAGCATTACGAATTAGATCTATTAGGAAAATCTACATTTAAACCAATACCATACTCATCATGGATCAAAAACAACTCACAGCAAAACTCACCTAAGCAACAATTATATAGGATAAACCTATTCCCTTTAAAATAAAAGAAAAACTAAACATGAAGTGTAATTTTACCAGGGTCCCAGATTTAAATTTGAAATACACTATAAACAAAAAGATTTGTTTATACTTTCACCGTCTGAATTTTGTGGTCGAAAAAATTTTCTTGATGTTGAAATAAAATCTATATTGTGAACAAAACAATCAATTATAAATGATATTCAGAGCAATAGTTTGAATTCCACCAAAAAAAACTACATTCAAAGCACATGTAAGATCACTATATACTACGGAATATTCACGATCAAAGTTATACCACCACAAACAAACCAAAAAACACATCAAATACAAACAGATGACATAGATAAAAAGTCTTCAAAAAAAATATAAAAAATACACAACATCAGCATCCACAAAGGTCCAAATCAATCCTTACAAACGATGTTTTCTCTATTATTTTTAGTTACGTATCTATATTAGATCTTAAAGAAACACAAAATGAATCACCACTTCAAACATCCCGACACTCAACTGTAAGACAACAAATTTATCTTTTCTCAAAGTTCTTAGAAACAATCCGTGAAAAACTCACTTGTACTGAAATATCACAAAATGTGAAACATGACCTACAACGAATATTAGCATCGTTTATAATTGATTATTTTGTTCACAATATAGATTTCATTTCATCATCAAGAAAATGTTTTCGAACACAAAGTTCAGACGGTGAAACTCTACTAGCCGATCATACATATTATGTTTGGAACCCTGAATGGTCTCATCACTCATTTATTAATGTTACAACCGAGATATCAATCCAGCAATCACCACTATTTCTCTACACAAAGATTATGTCAGAGTTATCCCACTTACTATTGTTGCAAAACCTTTAAATTATAACACAATGATTACTGATAGAACAGGAAAAAAAAATTTGAATACCACATTCAATAACACACAAGAAACATTTAATGGAACAATTAATCTTACATAACAAGAAATTCAAAACCCATCACATTTCATTATGGAGGAAATAGTTGAAACACTGCCTACTACAACAAAAAGAAGCTTTTCTCCCATTCGCCCCACACTTAATACACCACACAATAAAAATACTCCATTCCCACAGACA